TCTGTCTCTTTGTCTCTCCCCCACCACTACTGCCACTACTACTACTATTACCTCTTATCCACCATCGCCACCACTCCACTACCACCACTACCACTACTGCAACTACTACTACCATTACCTCTCCTCCACCACCGCCACTCCATCTCCTCTACCACTACTACAACTTCACCACTAATCTCCTTCGCCATCACCACCACCACCACCACCACCTCTTGTCCACCACATTCACCACTACTGCCACTCCTTCTCCTCTGCCACTCTCATTTTTGTAACAAAAAAAAAGGGCCGTAGAAAAATATTTTTCATTGACAAAAAAAAATTAACTTTATTTTTAATGGAAAATATTTTTCATTAAAATATTACCCTTACTTCAAAAAAAAAAAATCATTAAAATAAATATGAAACAAATAAATTTTTAACCTTAGTAACTAAAAAAAATAAAAAATATTTTTTTTTTCATTACCCCTACTCATCACTCTTTGCCTTTCTATCTGTATCTTTCTCTTTTTCTCTCTCTCTCTCTCTATCCCACACTGTGCTCGCGTTGCTCACTCTCTCCATCCCCTCTTATTGATTTATCGATCTCTCTCTCGATTATTGATCTCTTTTTTTTTCTCTCCCTCTATCTCTCTCTTCTTTCAATCGCTCACCTCTCGTTTCTCTTAATCACTTGTCGAAAGAGAAAAAAGTCAAAAAATGAAATGGGCCTCTCTCTCACACTCATCACTCTTCTCCCTAGCTCTCTCATCTCTCTCTGCTCCTTATCTCTCTTGCTCATCTTTCTTCTCTCTCTCTCTCTCTCTTTCTATGTCTCTCTCTATATCTCTTATTCATCTCTTTTTGCTGTTTCTCTCTCTCTCTTTTTGTCTATCTCTCGCTCATTCTTGCTCATCTTTCTTCTCTCTCTCTATCTCTCTCTCTTTCTATATCTCTCTCTATATCTCTTGTTCATCTCTTTTTGCTGTTTCTCTCTCTCTCTTTTTGTCTATCTCTCGTTCATCTTGTTTCTCTCTTCTTTTTTTCTCTGTGTGTGTGTGTGTCTCTCTCTCTCTCTTACTCATCACTATTCTCTCTGGCTCTCTCATCTCTCTTGCTCATCTTTCTTCTCTTTCATTCTCTCTCTATATCTCTTGTTCATCTATTTTTACTGTTTTTCTCTCTCTCTCGCTCATCTTGTTTCTCTTTTTTATTTTTATTTTTATTTCTCTCCCTCTCTCATCTCTCTTCTCTCTGAATCGTTCATTTCTCTCATTCACACTCATATTTTTCTCTGAGCCCATTGTTGTTGAAAGAGAAAAAAGTCAAAAAATGAAATGGGTCTCTCTTTCTCTCTTTCTCTTTCTCTCTGTGCCTCTTGCTCATCCATCTTTTCCCTCTCTTTCACTAATCTCTCTCAAAAAATGAGTTTATGTTGGTTTTTAAACAAAAATCTAAAAATTTGACTAACAATTTTTTTTAATTAATTGTTTTTTCAAATATTTTTTTTAATTATTTTTTTAAATATTTTTTTTCAAATAAAATTTTTCAATAATTTTTTTTAATTAAAATGTGTATGATCTCATTGTCATAAATAATAAAAAAATAAATATAAATATTTTAGACTTGGATAAACATATTTTTTAGTTTATAATTTAATTTTTTTAAAATATTTTGTTCAAACGTATTTGTAATTTATATATTTTTTAAAAATAAATAAAAATTAATCTATAAAATTTTTGTAATCCTAAATTAAAAATATAAATGTTATTGAACCGTACCTTAAATTTTCATTTGAGCCAGTTATGCTTGATGTGGCGAAAAAGAAAAAAGCATAAAATCTAATTCCCGCTCGTTTTTTCCCCCCCTCAACCAAAAATCCCCAAATCTCAAATCCCTAATTTTTGAACCAAAAATCCCCATCTCTCTCTCTAAAAACCACAAAATCTGATTCCCGCTCGTTTCCCCCCCCAACCAAAAATCCCCAAATCCCTAATTTTTGAACCAAAAATCCCCATCTCTCTCTCTCGCGACTGTGAGCATGGCAAACGATGGCGTCGAGTGACGGGGTTAAGGAGCCTCACTCTTTTGTTTCTCACTCCGTTGGCTTTCCCTCTGCTGCTCTCATTCCAGTGGTGAAGGAGCTGCTTAGGGACCACCACAGCCATTAATAGCAGGCTCGAAGCTTTCAGCTTCAAGAACATTGGTCCGCTTAGATTCACATGATTGAAGAGACTCTCCGATTTGCCGGTGTTCCTGGTGCGGTCTAATTTCTTATATCTTTCTGTCTATCTGAATATATTTTGACGATTTCATCTGATTTCATTTCATTTAAATAAACAGGACATTCTTATATTTTGCAATTGTTTTGTTTTTAAACAATGAACTCAAGATTATGTGAAGTCAAGATTGAGGGATCAAACATTTCTTAAATAAACAGGACATTCTTATCCGCCTTCTAGGTTTGAACCTACAAACTCAAGATTGAGGGATCAAGTTTTAACCGCTGGACCAGTGACCCCTATAAGGCCTGTACCCAATCTACCCCTCCAGAACCCCATCCGATGGGGTGGGGACTAAAGTCCTGAGGGATCAATAATCACTGGACCAGTGACCCTTATAAGGTTTGTACCCAATCTACCCCTCCAGAACCCCATCCGATGTGGTGGGGACTAAAGTCCACATATTTGATATTTTATATGGATCTTATTTTAGTTGTTAGCAACTTGTACAATTTTTCTACACCTAGTTTTATGCATGAAAGATGAAGCATTAACAATATTTGCATGTCATATTGATTTGGAGCACTTGGTATCAGGATATGGCTGGTGCCTGAAACAATGGTTATTGCAAGGACAACTGTTGTCAAAGCTGAAAGAAGATACTTAGTTTCTGAGGCTTATAATCCCAAACTTGTGAGTGCATCTTCCATTTTAACAAAACCTAACGTTTAGCTGCATTTGGAAGCCAACTTTCAGTTTGTGTTTGGATCTTTTCTTTTCCCTTCACACAAATCCCTCGCCAAATCCAAGATCCAAACACAACTCAAGAAAGGATTGGTTTCAATGACCACTAGAATATAATTGCTAAAAGCTTACTTGGCGATACATTATTTGGCTTTTCCTCATTTGGAATAGCTATTATCAACCATGGTGACTACAAGATCTACTTGATTTTGGAGTTTCACAAAATATTTGTCAGATTTACGAGCAGAAAATAAATCCTGTTTCTCAACTCTTAAGTTTTTCAAGCAAAGCTTGAACTTGGAGCTCATGAGGTAGATCAGGTTAGCCTGAAAGATCATTCAGATTGTTCATGGGTATATGAGTCTTCAATCACTACAAAGAGTTATTTTTTCATAATCTCAAGCAGCCTCCACTTGAATCAATTTAAACCTCCAACTTCTCTAACTTCTATATATTTTTTTCAAGAAATTAAAAAATGTAGCATTTATCCAAATACAGTGTGCAAACAAATTTTCTGATGGAAATTATTCTCTCTTCTAGACTTATCATCATCAACTATTTACTCATTTTCTGTTTTGTTGCTTCATTTAATTATCAAGTTCATAATACTGATGTGTTCATACTTCAAACTTTGTGTTTTCCTTGGTTTTCATCAGAAGCTTGTAAGCAATGAAGTTTTAAAGGCTCATCATCCCAAACGGTAAGCAATCCCAATGCTTGTTTGAGTTGGATACAATTTACAAGTGATGCCCTCATGTATGGCATGGAGTCAACTGAATTCACATCCTGTTTCTGATTATGGAATGCAGAACACAAGATGAATCAGCAGCAGTAAAAACAAGGAATATATTTCTACCGAGGGCCTCTCCGAAGTCAATAAACCAAAAGGTTGCAAAGTCTAACAAAAAATATTTCATGGTTATGGGAATTAATACAGCTTTTAGTAGCCAAAAGCGAAGAGATTCCCTGCGGGAGACGTGGATGCCCCAAGGTGCATTAGCTGATCTTGCAGCTTTGTTTTTATTTCATGATTGATGTTATTGTATATGATCAATGAGTAATGGGTTCTCTGATAAAAAAAATTGAAGGTGAGAAAAGAAGGAAGCCAGAGGAAGAGAAGGGCATTGTCATAAGCTTTGTTATTGGTCACAGGTACGAATTAGTATATGCTTTTCAGAGCTGATATTAGCTAATTGCATACGTATGTGGTTTTTAGTTGTGGTGAACTAGGGTAGAAGACCACAAGGAATAGATCAAATCTTAGAGAGAAGGTGAGAGTAGAGAGAGAAACTCTCAAATGGCGGTTTTTAAAGGTTAAGAAAGAAAAGGTAGGTCAAAAAGTGATCCAAAAAGTGAAATCACGGACTGATATAATCGACTTTACGCTCGAGCGTAGAAAGCCCCGCTCGAGCGTAAGACACAGAATCATGCTCGAGCGTGAAGAAAGCCGCTCGAGCGTCGATTGCACCCTTCCAGAAGTTTTGCAGGCGCTGCACCCGCTCGAGTGTCAAACTCCCCGCTCGAGCGGAGGAACAAAACAAGGGATCACGCTCGAGCGTAAAAACTACCGCTCGAGCGGAAGAACTGCAGAGCAAAATACTGGGAGATGGAAATCCCGCTCGAGCGTCAAAACTCCCGCTCGAGCGGAGAAGCAACAACGAAGGGCCCGCTCGAGCGTTAAAACCTCCGCTCGAGCGTGAAGGCCAAAATCTGGGCATCACCTATTGGCATCAAAATTCAACCAACCTGTACCAGACCCGTCCAACACAACCTATACTTCAAATACAAAGAGATTAAAGGACAACAACAACCAATAAATAATGACAGGATCTACGGAGCCTAAGTCCGGATACAATAATCTAAAGAGAAAAGACCGGGGTCGCTATAACCTGTCTTTTATCGTTTTGTTTCCCTCTCTTTGTTAAAAGGCATCCCCAACTCAACTCAACTTGGATGGTTACCATCTCCCTAAGCAAAGTTTTTTTTTTTCTCATTTTTATTCCTTAATTTTATTATTGGAAAATAGTATATACTTTCTTTTTTTAATATATTGAGAATGTTGTGTTGACAATACTTCATGCATTTTTAATTTTTGTAGATATGTAGCATTATTATTTAATACAAAACTCTCTTTATTATTTAATCAATAATGCGACATCCTCATAGTTTATTACCTCTAATGATATGATATTGAGGTTAGATCCCACATGATGGAATGTTTAAAATTTGATGCTTGTCAAACATATCATTAGAGGTAATTTTTAAGAGTGATAAATTAGGTGTTTGAAATATTTTTCTTATTCAATACAGTACTCTCTTTGTAGATATTGTTTCTATGTAATGTTTTCTAAATTGATTAATGTGAGTGATCAATGAAGAGATAACAAAGCATTGTGGATTTGTGGGATAGTGCCATATTTAGGTGTGAATCAGCATTATTTAAATAAACCAGTGAGGTTCTCTCAGATTATCTCCGTTAGAATGACCTAATTTATCAACTGAACATATTGACTTAATAAATTGGGTCGAGCACAATGTCTAATAAAAAATTTAAACAAAATAATCAAAAAGCATGTTGAACAAAATATCCGATAATTTGAACATAGTGTTTAGATAGAGTGCTCAAACAAAAAATTTATCACATTTCTATGTTGGGACTTCACATAATCTTGAGTTCACAAAAAATTTATCACATTTCTCTCTCATGTGCTTTCTTTGTTTTTAAACACATATTTTCATTCACCTTTTACCTAATTTGTTTATTTCAGGTATAGAAAAGTTTGGGCTTTGGTGGTAATGTGGTGGTGAAAGTGGTTTAGTTATTCAACAACAGCTATGGGTTCTTATTTTGAGGGTAATAGTATACCTCTTGATTTTTTTTAAAATTATTTTATTTCTCTTTGTTTTTTCTCTTTTGTGGTTTATACTTGCTAGTGAATGAACTTTGATGATATCATTAGCTTTTGCTTTCCGGGCACACAGTTGAATCTTTTGAAGGTCTTTGGGTGATGGGTCTTGAAGCTTTAGCTGATATATTTATTAGTCATATTTCATGAGTATTGTATTGATTTGTGATTTTAATGATTTGGGTTTCATTTGATTTTGTTGGTTTATGAGGTATTGATTTTAGGTTCTAAGATTTTCTTTTTTTTGTGGCATTAATCATTTCGTAATTGCTATCCAATCGTTTCTGGGCGGGTAAATTGATCATCAAATCTTTGGCGGGTTATGCAGATTGAAATCTTTTCTCAGCTTATTATTATTCATTATCATAATGTGAAATTCTTACTTATTTACTATAAGTAAAGGTTTATATTATTTGATGGATTGGTGGTTTTTGGGGGCGTCATTACATAATTAACCCTTTTTCTTTAATCTGTTTGAAAGTTTTAGATAGTGACTTCATTTGCCCGATTTTATGTGGCTGCCCTATAATAATCCGACTATATTTGACATTGTTGGGATCTCTTTGTCATTGTAAGTCAATCATTTATTTTATTTAATTTATTTAATTTAGTTTGGTGTGGCTTTTCATCCGAGTTGTTGAATTAATTTTTGTTTTTATTTTTCAGGTTAGAAATTTTTTGGAGAGACGCAAAATATGGTCAAAGAATTCAATGACTTAATTTTTCAAGTTTTTTTATTTTTTATTTTTTAATATATGTAAGCACAGTTTAAAATTTTTTATTTAATTCCTTTGTATATACTTTTGAACATATTTAACTTTCATTTATGAAATATATGGCGCTATTCCATTGAATATGTGGTTATGATTAAAAGTATAGTATATAGTGTGTATTACATTCTTTGTTTTTAATCACACTTAAAAGATGTGATCTAAATGTTTTTAATCACACTTAAAAGATGTGATCTAAATGTTTTTAATCACACTTAAAAGATGTGATCTAAATGTTTTTAATCACACTTAAAAGATGTGATCTAAATGTTTTTAATCACACTTAAAAGATGTGATCTAAATGTTTTTAATCACACTTAAAAGATGTGATCTAAATGTTTTTAATCACACTTAAAAGATGTGATCTAAATGTTTTTAATCACACTTAAAAGATGTGATCTAAATGTTTTTAATCACACTTAAAAGATGTGATCTAAATGTTTTTAATCACACTTAAAAGATGTGATCTAAATGTTTTTAATCACACTTAAAAGATGTGATCTAAATGTTTTTAATCACACTTAAAAGATGTGATCTAAATGTTTTTAATCACACTTAAAAGATGTGATCTAAATGTTTTTAATCACACTTAAAAGATGTGATCTAAATGTTTTTAATCACACTTAAAAGATGTGATCTAAATGTTTTTAATCACACTTAAAAGGTGTGATTAAAAATGACCTTTTTTAATCACACTCCCAAAGATCACACTTCAATAAAACTTAAAAGGTGTGATTAAATAACAAATATCACACAAAAAAAGTGTGATCTTTATCTGTTTTTGTAGTAGTGATGCCAAGGTTCCAGATATACGATGGTAAGTCAGACCCCAACTTTCATATTGGTTTATACCTGAACTCAATGGCATTGTACACTGGGAACAAGCCGTTGTTTTGCAAGGTGTTCCCCTCATCCTTCGGAGAAATTGCATCGGACTGGTTTCATAAGTTGCCGAAAGGACCCATGAAAACCTGGGAAAGCCTGGCCGAGATGTTTGTGGCCAAGTTCATGACAAACAAACTACAGCCATTAAGGGTAGACACCCTGAATTGCTCTGAAAATTGGCGAAGACAAAAGACTGAGGACCTACGCCAAAAGGTACTATAAGGTATTCAACCGGATACCAGAATTCAACCAAGAGGTGGCGGTCGTATCATTTAAGAACGGCCTAAAAGATTATTGTCTGCTTCGAAAATCATTGCAAAAACATTGCCAAAAAGTATAGAAGAATTAATGGCCAGAATAGATAAGTACACCAGGGACGAGGAAGACACGCCGGAGGCAAAGGTGCCGAAGCAAGAGAAGGGAAACGGCTCGCCGAAACGAGGCCGAGGTAATGGCGGGAATAACAAACAAGAGATAGGGTTGAGAGCTACACAGGCAGGCACAATCGTATTCCGAATCCCAGTTCACAAAGTCTTGGAGAAGATCCGAAATTAGCCATATTACAGAGCACCAGCAAGGGTTCTAGGAGAATTTATGGAAAGAAGCCTTGGCAAGCACTGTGCTTACCACAATAAGGCTGGACATCTGACTCGGGGGTGTAGAGCCCTGAAGTCACATCTGGAAGACCTAGTAAGACAAGGCCATTTAAGGACCTGGTAGACGAAGTCAGGACAAGGGAAGAGCATGCAAGACTGCCCCAGGCACCGACAGCACCACCCCCACCACCACCACAACCGCAGGCAGACGGACCTCGAGTGATCAATGTGATCGACTCAAAGGTGAATGAGAATGAGATAAGAGGGGAAACCCAGAAAGTAAAACACCTACAACATGTGTATCAGGTCGGGAAGAAAAGACCTAGGACAAACGAGAGCCAAGGACCAGCGGTGTCCTATACTGAGGAAGACCTGGAGATGGTGCAGCATCCACACAACGATGCCTTGGTAATATCCCTCCAGATTGGAGAGTGCCAAGTGAAGCGCATCTTAGTTGACTAGGGCAGCTCTTGTGACATCATGTATGTCAGGTGTTACAAGGAGCTTATCCTTCACCAAGACGACCTGGAGCAATCCAATGGCCCAATGGTTGGGTTCAATGGAACGCCGACATGGCCCCTGGGAGCAGCAAGCTTAGAGGTGCAGGCTGGCACCAAGAGAGTGAAGACAGAGTTCACCATAATTGACACCCCCTCCCCTTACAATGTTATTCTGGGAAGACTATGGCTGTATGCAATAGGGGTTGTTCCCTCAACATTGCACCAGCTGCTGCGATTCCCAACAGAGCATGGGATAGAGGAGGTTAGAGGGGATCAAGTGCAGGCAAAGAATTGCTCCATGGCAGTAATGAAATCTACCAGCAACATACGGAAAGCAAAACCAGCAGAGATTGAGGATGAAGACATGGAAGTCCTGGAGGACGTCGGTAAAGAGCCAACCGAGAAGAATGAGGAAGCCCTGAAGAAAGTCCTTTTCCAGCAAGAGGACGAAGAACGCTTCTTCCTTCTCGACTCGGGCTTGGCCGAGGAAGAAGAAAAAGAACTAGAGGCGTTCTTGAGAGCAAACATTGAGGTGTTTGCCTGGACGCCTTACGAGATGCCTGGCA